CTCTCTCTCTCTCTCTCTCTCTCTCTCTCTCTCTCTCCCTTCTCCCCTGTTCACGCACAATCACAGACATTCCTGCAGCAAAGAATGCAAAGCAAAGGACGCAGAGATGCTCACTAAAGACCGATCGGCTCTCACAAGTGATTTTACAAAGAACACCAAGCATTGGGGGCTTACAAAAGGAAAAGAATAGGGAACAGTACCACAAAACAAAACACAGAGAGAAAGAGAGAGATAGGGAGAGAGAGAGAGAGAGAGAGAGAGAGAGAGAGAGGGGGGGGCGGGGAGAGAGGCAGTGAGAGACAGAGGTGAGAGATAGAAAATGATGGACGGGTGGGTAGGGAAGGGTGGAGATTATGACTGTGGTCTGGCGCTGGGTAGGAAAAGATAAAAAGACAAAAAGAGGAAGAAAAAAATAGATCGCAAACTGCGAGGACAAAGACAAGGAAGATAAATTTAGCAAGACTGCATCTGCCTCATGCCTGCCTGCCTGCCTGCAGAAGAAGAAGAAGAACTAGAGAGAGTAGGCAACCCGAGCACAGAGGTCGAGAGGTCACAGTAGTACATGTGGTGTGTTAAAGAGTACAGAAATGTAAAACTTTTGTGGGTGTCCCCACGCGATGAAATCAGACGCTCGTCAATTAATTTTAGGGGCATGATTAATAATTATGAAGTTATTAGTTTCATCTTAAAGCTTGCTCGTTTATTGCCTTGCTCTGGAAATGAAAATATCTATTTATTTTGAAAAGAAATCGAGATACTTCTGATTGAAGGATTGGATTTTGCCTGGTGTCAGGGGTAAAATTAGATATAGACAGCGAAAGATCTTGTCAGTTTGTTAGTGTTTGAGCGCTTAATCGGCCGCTTGCACTGTATGCTTTCCGGGAAGCTGAGAATGTTTCGGAGTGTTCTATGGTCTGCTGGGGTAATAATATAGTGTAAAGCGCATAGAGCCTGCTGTTGAACGGGGATATGCGCTATACAAATGCTATCTATTATTATTATTGTAAAATTAGCGAGAACATGGCCTCCAAAGTCTGCGGTTACTTACAGAGCTTGAGAGCCATTGGAAACTGTAAATTTACTTTTCTTTTTGTGCGTGTGTGCTTCTCATCGGCATTTTTCAGTAAAATTTGCCGCACTGAAATGTGTATTAAATGGACATAAAAGATGTTGAGCTTTTGGTTTGTTTGTTTTAGTAGAGGTTTTACTGCGCTCGCAACTGCATAAGGTCATATGAGCGCATTTTGAGCTTTTTAGCTGTATAAGATCATATGAGCGCATGTTGAGCTTTTCAACTGCATAAAATCATATGAGCGCATGTTGAGCTTTTTAAATAATTTTTATTTCAATTTTTTTTTAAAACATCGATGACAATTGCCAAACAGGTGAAAAAAAAATATCGGGCTTTTTTTCGATTTCGTTATAATACTGACGAGCACCTGATTTCTGCACGATGCCAACCCGCACGTCAGTCTTGGTATGTGCAGCTGCACCGAGCTGCTGCTAGAGACGGGTAAATGGCCTGACTGACTGAATTGACTGAACGATAGGGGCTGGGCTGTCAGTGTCGTTGTCATTGTCGGGGGGAGGGAGCGGGGGAG